CTAAAAGAGGTTTTATTTCTAGCAAGCCCAGTCTGCTGTTTTGTAAGATTTATTAAAACATTCATAACTGGAAGGGTCAACAAATGTAAACAATGTGTCAACAATAAGTAGATCCAAAAAAGTCAATTTTTCTTCCCCTATAGATCTACAGAAGATAAACAACTGTACACAACCTTTTATTTAATTCACAATTCATCTGACTGCAGATTTACAGAGGAAGTGGGCTTGTTCCTGACTCAATTCCTGAGGAAGTTTAATAAATTAAAATGTTAATCTGTTCTTTCTCAACTCTGTTGAAGGCATCACAGAAGTATCTGACAGTGACAGATAAAAAATAGCAGGCTATTATGGTATCTACTACTCAGTACTAACACGCAGAGACGACTGGTCTTATCGTCTGAGTGATACCATACGGCATAGTGTTTCCTGGCACATCCATTCTTCAGCAAGACATGCCTAAGACAAAAATCAGATCTTCAGCACCAATAGTTATAATTCTTCTAAGATTTTCATTATTTCATTATGAAGCAGTGCTCCCAGGAACCACATCTACACAACGTGGTGCCATATTTTTATTATCAATAGGTGCTCATTTGCCAGCACCAAGTCATTCACATTCTAAAAGACTTCTAAAAACACCCATCAGTCTTCATTATCACGGATAGTCTCTCAAAAATGATTATAAAAGTTATTTTGTACAAAGTTACAAAGAAAGCAAGTTTATAAATAAAGGCCAGGGAATGACGGTATCTAGCTTTCAACTCCCACTTCTTCCACTGTGCTGCTGTGTGGTCCCATGAAAGGTAGTTTCACGTTATTAGCTGTATTAGAAAACATTAAAATACCTCATATTCAAAATGGATAGATAATCAGTTGCATCCCCCTTCTATTCAGTCCTGATCATAGAACGGCAGCTTAGTAGTCAAACTATTAATTTTTGTAACAAGGCTATGTAATTACTGACACTAAAATATACAAATATCTGTACCACCTCAGAAAAGGCAGCATGTAGTAGGGTCTTTTATATACTCCTTAAAGGGAGAGAAACACAATCCCTAAATATTCTCGATCCCCAAAAATAGCCAGATTGACTTAAAATGGAGCTTAGCAATAGTGTCTCAAAACTCTAGGTTAATAATGGAATGACAGCTTGAGCTATGAACCTCCTTTAGTTTTGTCATTACTTTATATGTAACAATGGGTTAAAGTATTTTCTTTTTAAAGCAGAAGAAATAATGAAAATTTTAAAAATGCATCTAAAATTGTTTGCCAGCTGGTTTGGGTTTTTTTCTCTTCTAAATGCTTAGTTAAGGTCACTCATTTAGTGCTTTTAAAACAGATTTTTATTTTAAATTGAACATTTTAAAATGCAAAATGAAGTTAAATGTCAATTCTGATATTCTACAGCACAACTCAGGTGCAGTTGTTGCACTGGGGACAGCTCTATCTAAGTGACATGTTTTTTACCTAGATGAGTCGCTATTTCTGAGCATGACTTTAAATAAATAACTTAAAATGGAACAAAAAGAGACAGCAAAACAGAGCAGGCTCACAAAATGTTCAATAACATAATGTCATATTGATAGATAAGACTGACAAGTCCAAATACAACTCTGAATTTAATCAACAAAGTTGTTCTTCAATGCAAACAGAAATAGCAAAAGGGGAAGAGACAAATTAAGCAGTTGAAACAGGTAGCTAAAAGGAATGTTGCAGAAAGATCTTAAGCTGATGCCGACGTTAAAATTTATCTAAGTAGCCAGGCTCAAAACCATGCAGTTTGCTGTAATCACACGAAAACTTTCAAACGGATCAACAGGTCTGTGTTCCAGGCAGTCAAAGTATTAAGCCTTATAACATGTACCACGATACTGTGGAGTACCTGCCTGCAAGCCCAAAACTTTTTTCAAGCTCCTGTCATAGGAAAGACAAAGAATTTCAAAGTATTTCATTTCTAGATGAGTGATGATGGGTGATAGACTCTGTCCCGGAGTTACTGAGGCAATATTCTAAGGCCACTGCAAATTTAAGTGATTTGGAGGTTGAATCACACCCTCAACAGCCTGGAGACAAGTATAAAAAAAAAAAAAAAAGGTCCTAGGAAGGCAACAGGATAAAAAAACTCAACCACATAAAGGCCATGGCAAGTCCCAAATTCATATGAATTTAAAGAAAATTGTTCTATCAAGTCATATTTACTGAGAATGATGAAAAGACGTTGACTATAATGGCACTCACTTTGATGGGATTTTAAAAATTTCTCCATAAAATTTAATTACCATCATAAATTTAGCTACTTTTTCATAGGATATGCTCCTGCCCAGGAGGTCCACTCCCCAGCTTGTGCTACTGTTCCACCATGCACGCAAGAGAAGCAAATGTGCCTCCCTGGTTAGCTGTAAAACTACAGGATTTCCAACAGGCATTTTTTCTCTCTGGATTAAGAGTTAAGGAATACTTGTAAGGATCGATTTCACTCTTCCAGCCAAAGTCAAAAACTACAAAACCAACCCCATACAAAAACCCTTGGTTGACACAAATTCTTCATCCATAATTCAAACATTTTCATGGGGACCAGAGAACTTCCCTTGGAATGACTAGTTAGCAGCTCTCATTCAGCAATGGTTTTAACTGTTTTTCTTCCCCTAATATTTTTCTTTCACAAAAGAGTTGCGTAAGTTGTAAACATTTTGTCGATGACAGACAGGACAGGGATGTGGAGAAAGCACAGTCAGGAAGGAAGCCGAAGGTTATTTAAAATTCATTTGTATCTATGACAAATCAATGAAAAGGCTGGAAGCTTGTTTTTAAAAACACAAGACAGTTCACTTCAAAGGCTTCTTGACTTTTTGAGGATTTTTTTTGCAGAAGAATATGTTCCACTGTTAGCAACTGTAACTGTTTTTTCTCCTTCCAGTTGCTGAAATTACAGGCATGCTGTTTGTTCAGAGATAAAGAACAATTCAATGCAGACAAAAATTATTTTTTGACTGCTCCATTACTCCTTCTGGAGGCTGCTGGACAGACAGCTTCACAATATGATTTCGGTCCTCCATTAAGGAACGTTTTCTTTCTTATTCTGTCTACAGCCATACACCTTCAGATTTTACTTTCCTTCCACAATGAGGTCCGACTAGATTTTTATTTTAATATGAATTTAATCTACGCTCCTCCCACAAATTCTCAGAAGTGCCTGTTACTTTAGACTGGTTGACTCATGAATCTTAGAAGCAGTTTTCTGCTAGTCTAAACTGTTGCCTCAGTACGTTTATGCACGGCCCCACTGTTTCTCAAGGCGTCTGGATGGATCTTCTCACTCAAAATCAATTTTCTTAACATTTCTGTTTTATTTTTAGCTGTGGTAGCAGAGGCTCCTTTAGCTTTATGTGATTACCCTCCACAAATGCTAACAAGTTTCCCTTTCTCCCCCAGACTCTAGTGTTTCACTCTCTCACTTTCTCCGTGTATCCTTGCACCTTCTTTCCCAGAGTAATACCTTCAGACATGCTGAGATAACACTGCCAGATGTGAGATGAATGCAAATGTTTTAAGAGTTGAGTCTTCTTTCATTGTAAGTATTAAATCTATATTAACTATGACTAAAAAACTTCTTCAGCATATTTTATCATCAAGCTTAACATAATAAAAAGCACAGGAGGTTCAGACAGGATGTAACTATGCTACTATCACAATGATCACCACTATGAAATGATGTTCTGTACTTGACAAATGATCTCTTAAATGTCTGTGTGCAGCTCTACATCAAGATCAGAATGAAATAATAAACTGAAGTGACAAACAATGATCACACCCAGACCAGAAGCTCATTCCAAAAATTAACTCACTAACAGTCCAAAAGTGATAAAGGGACTGTGTTCATCTACTGCATGACCAAAGAAGCGGACAAAGGGCAGAAAAACTAGCAACCTTTCTGCTTTTTCTATTTGCTTACTCAAAATAATCAAGATATTGTGAAAGAAATGGAGCTCAGATATTTACATGGAAATGCGAAATCACTTCACCATTACTACCTTTCGCATTCACTTGGATACCCGGCAGTATTAACCTACTTCTTTTTGATAACTGAGCACTGATATGCAGAAGGGGCAATAAGCTTAAGTAAAAAAATATTGAGTTATGAGTGGTGGACAATATTTGTTTAAAAATGATTGTTATCAGGGCATGTGCAACAAGCCTGAAAATTTGCAAGTAAAATACTTCATAATAAAAATTAACAGAATGAACTAGAGTCAACAGTGTTCCAGCCCTTTGCATTTAAAATTCTCAATGATTTTATTTATTTATATATTTTTATGTTTGTGACCCATTTAAATCAGTGAGGAAATTAGTGGCAGGTTCAAAACCAGGTTTAATTCCACGGTTGCCCTGACTTCCCAGTGTCAAAAAGAATACTAGTTTTTTACCAAAATAAACATTCCAGACTATCAGTCTGTTCTGTCTGTTTTTTTAAAGGAAGTGCAGATATATCTACAATACAGAAACGTACCATTTTGTATCTGGAGTAACGAGTTCCGTAGTTGGAACAGTAGGGTAAAAAACAAAAGGAAAGAGCTTCATTCAACTGTGCTGTTTGGCAGTTCTCACGATTTGTTTAATATCAGGCCATCAAAGCAACAAGCAATACCCTCACTGGCTTTGGGCACTGGGAATCAGACAATTTGGAGAGCTTTCCCTCTAAAAGCCTGCTAGGCTTTTACTACTAGGTATCTTCAAGAATTTAGAATTCCTAACTTTGAATAAATTATTTAACAAATGAAATGAAGAACAGATGTGTGTATCAGATATTCTTAATTAGATCCCTTAGCAAAGAATGAGGCAATCCACAACCCTCATTTTAAAACCAAACCAGCATTTCACTGAACATCTTCTCTTCAATATAACCACGGCTTCTACATAATTCAGTTACATGCATTTTGAAATGAAACAGTTAAATGACTCCAACAAAATGAAATAAAAAAAGAAGAAACATTCATGGAGTGGAGGAAGGGCTTTCTGACTCAAGGGTTTTTTACCTCACAAAGTAGTAAGTCAATGATGTGGAAGACCATGCAGAGTGGAAACTTGGCAGTAAAAAGAGTGAGGAACCACTGGGATGCATACATATGAGCTTCCAAACTGAGGTCTGAGAAATGGCTATACAAGTCTGGTAATTGCTCCTAGAGTAAAGGAAAAAATACATGCTTCAGTATTACTCATTAATCTGAGTTCGTCATCTACATTGCCAGTAAGTACCAGGTTGCTAAACACTGAAAAACACAACAAAGTGAAATCCTGGCTTCTTTTGAGCAATGGAAATATGTTTCTTCATAAATTTCAGTGCCCATGGTTACAGTCTTTAGTAAGATATCCACTGAGGATTCTATCATGGTATCAAATAATACACTGAGATTATACTGAGAAATCACAAAATCTTCAACAGTTGAAAGGCAGAGCGGTTGTGAAACATGCATAGTGTATATTTTCAAGTTATTCCTTTGCTGTGCCTTGTTATAAGTGCTTCTGCTATAAAAAACAATGGATACCAGAACAAGGAGATCACCATGCAAGAGCTTGAAAGCAGCAAAGCACACAACTTAAACAGACAATTTCTCTAACTAGAAGCATATATAAGCAACACAAAATAAGCACTGATAATCCTACTGTACACTGATGATATATTCAGTTAATAAAGTAAAAATCTTTGTTAAAATATGTAAATACTGAGAAGACCATATGCCAAAGTATCAAATTAATTAGTATGCAATTCTACTCCATCTAGTAGGAAATATGCACAATTTGACATCTGAAAAAAAAATATCATTAAATTAACGGTGGTCTGTTTTGTTTTGTTTTAATGTATCTCACAGACATATATATGGTCATCTATGATAATTGACTTTAGCAGCTAGCTTTCACCATGCTAACAGAAGCGCAGGTCAAAGCTTAATGAACTGTTAGTAACTCCTTATTAGTTGGACAACAACATGTAAAACTTACAGCTATTTATTTATGTTAAATTGCTCTGACTACAAAATAATTCCATCTAAAAAAAGAGCAACTTATTGAAAACACAGTAAAATCTACAAAATGGCCTACACTTGATTTGTATTTCATAAGCATCAGAATGTCCTGGTTTGCCTGACCTTTTAACCATCAACACAACTCATGGAAAGTGGGACACTGATGGTGGCAGTCCAAAAGATACTCTGGCCTTAACATAACAGAGAAATTCTCTCTAAGCCACATCACGAAATAGGGAAGAGAGAAAGTAAGCAAACAGAGAGAGATAAAAAACAGATATCTACTCTGCTTGGATACAAAGATTAGCAGCAAGATTGGTATATGAAAGACAAAAGAAATTAGAAATAAATCTGACTCATGATGTTTGGATCCAGATATTAAACTTTCCTGATTTGGTTTTACCCCACCTCTAAAAGGAGAGGGGGTTTATTGTCGAGTGGTTTTTGGAAGCAAAGCATTAACCTCTTCTTCATGCCAGTATTTCCATTTATGAAAGTAGAAGAATTTGTTACCCTGGCCCCACCTGCATTAACTTCTCCAGCTGGAAAAATTTGCAATGGAGATCTTCAAAGTTATTTCTGTAGAGGTCCCTCAAGCCATAGTCATACATTATTTTCACAAACACACAGAATGCCTGCTCCTCCGGCATCTGTTTGGAAAAATACACAAACATAATTTTAAAAACTGAGCTGAGGCTGGAAATGCCTTACACAAGTACACACACTTATGCATGAGGATTTCAGAGCCAGGGATATATTAAAATTTTCAGCAAAGCACTCTGAATGTAGAATTAAGCAACTAGCATCTCAAGGGCACTGTTCTCCTTGATGAGCACCTTGATTTGGCTCTGTAAGACGTTCTTTGAAATAAATGTGGGATTATATCATAGGTTCATGTAAGTATACATCCCTACAGCAGCACAACTGTCATCAGCATTCTTTCTGCCAAATAGATATAAGAACAACCAGTACACAAGTCTTAGCTACAGAACAACATTTAAAAAAAAAAAAAAAAAAAGAAAAGAAAGAAAGATAAATAAAAGAAAAAGACAACTCATGATAGTGATTTCTACTGAGACAGACTTGGTTAAAAGGGAAAAATTCAGGAGAGCTAAGGTATAATCAACCCTTAGTGAGAATAATGCTTATCTCCTTTCATCCAAAAATGATGGACATCAAACTCGCTGAAGTCAGGTTCCCCACAATGAATAAGGAAATTACAAACTTTGCCTTTGGAACCTACTTGTGAGCTCAGGAGGGCTGATCCCATCTATCAACATTATGACTTTTTCAAAAGCCCTATCTCCATAATCTGTTTTATTTTGACCAAAATTTCTCACCCAACGGAGTTTTAGAAGGTGGTACAAAATGACAAGCAATGTGAGCCACTCTGAAGTTACATTTGTTGGCTTGAGCCCACTGAACATTGAATTTGTGGGAAGCCCTGTGTCATGAAACCTCCACCGACAAGACATCCAATTCCCCCATGCCTTCAGGTAACACAACAGTAAGACAAGCACAAGCAGAGTCACTGCAGACTCCAAATAAGGTTTTCAATCACATTAAAAACAACCTTTCTTTTGCAGGCACCAGATTGTAACAAATGAAAACAATTATTGAGTATCAAGACTGACAACTCTTGACCTTTTAGTATATTTACTCATTCAGCCTCTTGCCAACCCCTTATCAAATATCAGCAACACACAAAAGCTCAGTATTTTCTTCAAAGAGAATTTTAGTCTCTTGATATTTACCTCCAGTGTTTCATCTTTTATGTTCAGTCTATGATTATGGTCTGTCTCCAGGGCCATGGGCAGACACTTTCATTTTCAGACATCGTAAGTGAAAGTAACCAGTTAGCATAAAGAACTCCCAGATCAGCTGCTAGCTACCTGTCCAGGCCAGATTTGCTTAGAACAAGCTCTTAGTAATCTCAAAGGCCTTTAACACAATTTTATCTGGATGGAATGATCCTCACTGACAGCAGGTAAAGCTACAGACAAAGTAAAGGGAAGAAATAGTTTTATCCTGACCAAAAGGCTTGAAACTCTCTATAGTAAGATGAATGTAAATTTCAGGGTTTTTTGGTAAAGTAACATTTACTTCTAATAAAACAACAGATGCTCATGCACAAGCACACCTACCTTGCATGCTCAATCAGACACACGTGCATTGACAATCATCCCTTCCCTCAGACAGGGAGAGGGAACAGCAACAGAGGTAAGTATTAGGCTAAAGTCATTTACAGGCAGAGGCCACTGAGTCCTCACTCTCAGTGGACAGAGGTTCTCCAATATTACCAACCCCAAGAACTCAAAATCATAAATCAAGTTTTCATTTCTTATTTTATTTATTTTAAGTAAAACACATATTTTTGGCATTTCCATTCTGATTTTTAGCATTTAGATATTTGCCCCTTATTAACTTTTTTTTGGAATCACAAAAACCAGAAATTTACCATTTTTTAAAATGAAATTTTAGTTTTTCACATAGCAATGACTCTGAAAGGTAGACAACAAGAAAAAAAGTCAAATACTGTAAGATTTACAGTAAAATGGTTAGAGTTGGCAACACTGTCCCCTGTGATTAGAAGTTACCTGCTCATCTTTGATGGGAATTTCATCAAAGCAGCAAAATCACAAAAATCCAGGATGGAGGTTCAGGCTACCCAACCACCCCTGAAAGATATCTACACTGAAGAGAAAGGATATCCTGTCCCAGAAAAAAAGGGAAAGGAAGGGGTCTAGAAATCCATGCAAAGATAGAAGAGTTAAAGAGGGTCTTGCAAACATTCACAGCATACTGATTGGTTGGAGGATTTGAGAAAAACAAGAGTTTGAGGACATCCTGGGAAGCTCCCAACTTACATGAGCTCATTGAGACTGCTTCCCTTCCCCCCTTTCTCTGATTATTTCAGTTTAATATCCTATTATGAAAGCAAATGTTATAAAGGGCATATTAAAATGAGTGTAATTGCTGTTTAGTATTCCCTGTGTACAGGGCAATTTCTTCTAACTCCAGAAACACTAGAAACAGAGGCAATTCGCTATTGTAATGACAGTATACAACTCAGTGAGAGGAGTTGAAGTATTAGTCAAATGTTAAGAATGTGACACCCACTCATTTCTAAACAACTCTGGTATTGAAAATGGATTATGCTTCCAGTGGAATTAAAAAAAAAAACTTATTTGGGTAAAAAGTTAATTGCAAAAAACTGTTAGATAAGGTAATTTGCAGTATATGTGGGATTGAAATAATGTGACTAAATCAGGTTTATCCTTAAAGAATCTAAAGCTTCTCTGTAATACTGTCACTGTGTATCATGCTCCTTAAGTGTTCAAGGAGTAACAGATCTTACTAGGAATTACAACTTAAATAATTTGAATTGGAGTTCTAGATACCTCAGGAAGTGGACATGTAACATACATACCACCAACAGCTGACTCAGAACAACAATATGAAATGTATTTCAATCATGACTAATTATTAATTAAAGCCTGACAGAAATAGCAGGCAAGAGCCTGAGTAAGAATTGTTGTTGAGGTTTGGGGTGGTTTATTCACATATTCTCTACAATATCGACACTACTTGAACCTGCTGCTTTTCCACTGATACATCAAAGTCAAAGCATCTTGCAAATACAAAAATTGTGTATTTATCTAACTCCATACATACATGCACATGTATATATAGGAAGCAACAGATTAAAGTTTGTACAGTTTTTGGTTACAGGCTAAAACATCAAGGTTAAAATTCAGCTTTCATTCAAAAGATATTATAAAATGTCCCCAGGAGAAAAAGTCTAACTGAAAATTAATGAGACTGCTTGCTCTGGTTAGCTACTCTGAGAATAGTTCTGGAAGTTAAATTAGAATCATAGAAATTCCCCATAAACACAAGGTGAGTTCCCCTACATGTTAACTAAATTAAAAGAAAATATTAATATAAAACAAATCAGTCTCAGGTTTTGACACAGAAATACTTGACAACGTAACAGATTTCTCCTAGATAAAGGAAATTTACATTCATAAAGATAGAAGCCGTTAGTCACTATTTACCAAAAAGCAACAAGAGGAAAATGAATACAGACAAATAAACAACAGTAAATATCTGTCAAATAGCATGCTACAGTGCTACTGATTTTAAAAGCTGCTTTGGCTTCAAATATCAAAGCTTTCATTTTGCAATTAACTTACATGAAGTAGAAGCACAGCTGCAAGGAACGACTGTCCCTGGCAATAGCCAATGTCTTCATCATAGACAGAGTATGCCTAGAAAAAACAGAAGTCAACATATATTTAAAATGCATGCAGGCATTATTGAATTGTGTTATAATCAATGAGCTATTCAGAATATGTAATACTATGCAGGCTAAAATAAAAACGGGAGTGACACTGTAACCATTCTTGTGTAGGCTTTCAGGGCACTTAAGGAAACATCTACAGGTCACCCTCAGTCTTCCACCGATGCTGTATTTGTAAATTTTTATTTCTCAAACAGCATGAAAAGAGTTGGATGCAATTTCTCTTCACCTAAACCAAAGATAATTCTGCTGAGGTCAGTAATGATATAACAAATAACAATATATGATCGATATAACAAATATGATCTAAAAATCAGGCTGGTTTGTGCTGTGGGGAGAGTGATTGTTTGGTTTTGGAAAAACAAGTTTTGACATTATGAAAGTATAGGACCTGAGGTTAGTGGTTAGAAAAATACTGAGAACTACTCTAGCCTGAAAAGTTCATCAGAAACAGATTTTCCATGTCCTTGTTATGCTGAAGAATGAGCAAGACTCATTTTCCTATGGTATGACTGACATATTATTTTTTTCTCACTCTTAAAAAAACAAAACTAAAATAACCAACCTTTCCTTCCCCCTTACTTTTCCAAGACAAGAAGACAGATACTGTTTTTAAAGAGATGTCAGAGGATGTTAAGAATTTGAGGAAACTTAAGAAAGTATAAGCAGCAGCAGGATTGACTTCGGAGAGAGAGACATCCTGAGAGAATAAGCAAGGTATTAAGGTTACAGCCAGGAAAAACAAAAGCACAAAGTCAGAGCTACAGGGAGGAACAAGCCACATGAATTAGAACATCCGCTTTGCCCCCACACTGCCTCCAAGACTGTTTATGGATAAGAACATTTTGAACTGGAACACTACGCTTATCTCCTTTTTTTAACTCTTAAATGAAATCAAGATGGCAAATTGACTGAATGGAAGCACAGAGACTGTGAATAAACAATGTCAGGTAAGCTGGGGAACCAAACCCACCTGGGTCTATCATGTATTATTTCAAAGCTTACTAAGATGCCTCTTCAAAAGGCAGGAAGAATTGCGACCCAAAAAGAGATGTGACACCTTTCCAGCCAACAGTATTAACATAATTGCAAATAGTTTCTGCCAGAATGTTGAAATGGAGGCCAAAACATATTTAAAGTCTTTAAATCACCTTTCCTTTTTCATTCTGATGGGCAAAAACTAAGAAATATTTATAAGGAATTGTGTAATGATTCCAGAAGAGAAGATTTCTGTAAAGAATATAACCTGAGTATTCCTTTAAAGGCCACTGTTCATAAACAACTCATTCATACACCACCTAATATATTTGTAGCTTTGTGAAAAACTGAACTGTGACTTCCAGTCCTTTGCCATTTGTCTATCGTGCTTACCATTCCTTTGAAGTCTGTTAGATGGGATTATTTAGAATCTGAGTGAAAATAATGCCAATCCATTGATCAGTTTCAGTGGTCAAGCAAATACAAAAAGACTAGTCACACAAATCATTGAAAAAATTTTAATGAACCAATACAACCTTCTCTCTAGCTTAACCAGCTCTAGCCACAAAAGTAAAATACAAAAAATAACTCTAAAGTGTACAATAGCAAATACAAAATTTTGAACTGGAAAAAACAGGAAGCTCCCTTGGAAAAAGTTAATTTAAAATTACTCTCTAGCTACAAAGCAGTGAATTAACAGAAATCACTTTCAACGATTAAATTAACATTGCATATGACAAATTAGAACCATCCACTGGCTAATCATCATCATCATGAGTCTTTATCTATTTGTTCCCAAAATCTATCAGTTTATGGATGCCTAATATTTTATTTCTGTAGCATTTCTAAAAGACGTATTATTTCTGCTTTTGAAAGGCTAGCTCCACTTAGAAACAGATATGCAGAATTACAAATAATAAAATTGATTTATGATTTCTTCATACTATGTAACAACACTTTTACTGAAAAAAAAAAAATCCAGGCTGAAAAATTAATAGCAAATTATCAGTATGTGGGGTTCTCTGTTGTGAGAAACATTATTAGCACAATAGCTAACAATTAGCTGAAAACAGCAATAAATTAATCCAAACAAGTTTTGAAATAACTATCGAGAAACCAACACATTGGAACAAAAAAACTGCCTCCAAAACTGACAGGTTAAAAAGTAAAGAAAATTATCAGAAATAAAAAGATACTCCTTTTGAGATAGTGAAAGAAGTTGAAATTACAGCAAAAAATGGAAAACTGGGAGGGTGCAAAAAATCCTCACTCTGCATGAAATATAAAAATATGAAGGAAGACCAAGAAATGTTTTCATAATCAACTTCCTAAACACATTAAAACTAGTAATAAATCTGTTTTAAATTCATCCAGAGCAGGAAGGCTAAGCCTCTACTTGGAAAATATATGATCAAGGTAGAAAAGTAGTATTTAAAGTATAGCAGAAAATCCACATGAACTATCCTTGTGTCTGTTTTATTACAGAAGAATCACAGGGGTTGTCATCCTGCTGGAACCATTTCTAACAGGAGATGTGTTGAAGCATCTGTCTCTAACTGAGTATCAGAAGAGATGATAAATTACAAGGAGTAAAAATACTAAAAAATTATTAATAACAGACACTATTCACCCAAAAACCTTGAGGGGAAGTAAACTCGTAAACCATTAACTGACTGATTAAACCAGAAGAATAGATGACAAATTTGAAACATTTGTAAAAAGAGGTGATCCATAGAACTCCAAATCAATAAATACTGGATAATTTGGTTTAAAAAAAGAACTTTCAAATTAATTAGGGGACACAGATACACATAGGATACATAGGAGAAAAATGTCTGAGGGCTCCAGTAAAAGGATGGCATCATTAAGAAATCTCTGAAGCAACCAACAACTATGAAAAAAATATTAACTGCTTGATGTGCTTGCTTTTTGAAATTCATTTCCACTAGGTCCTTCCCCAAGATCTGATCTTCATAAACAGCTGTTATCAGGTACTTGGATACTAAGTTCAGTTCTGTATGAGAATGAGATCAAAGTGAGAACGATTCTGCTGTTAAGTCAAAGCATCATAATCCTGGCGAACTAAAGATGTATTTTTTAATGAAGTCTCTAAAAATCTACATGATTCCATTGTATTTGCCCAAAGCAAAGAGATATTTGAAGCTTTATGCATATTACATTTCCAGTTATACTGTTTTAGTTTTAAGTAATGTATGGGACTTAATATTGCTGAAATATGATGTAATTAACCAAAATATCCTCAAACATAAGGATGCTGCCTACAGATACCATCATAATATTATATTATTAACAAAAGATCTAAGATTAATTATTTAAGATTTATCCTTTTAACGGACCGAGGAGCATTAACTTTGTCTTTCCATATGAAATACGAAAACAAAGCAAATCCCAAATCCCCTATTGCCGTTGCAGTCATTGTAACTTTGTAATTTCAAGAGAATGGGATTTTTCCCATGACAACCTGTGACAATGTTGCAGTCTTTTAAGTTATTATTTTCTTAAGCTCTTGGGGAATCTCCAATCACAATACTCCAGTTAGCTGAGATTTTAAATATTCTCTGTCTCATAAATGGGACTTAATGAAGATTCTGACTTGAAGCCTACTTTCATACACTTTAACTAAATGAAGACCTCATGAATTAAAACATCTTTTTAATAGTTATCTCTTTTCTGAAGAGAACTATTATGTAGTTATTTGTACAACACCATCACAAAGTGAATACTTCGGAAGCAAGAGTCTCCTCAAATAAAGTTAATGATAGAGAACCACCTGCATGTTGGGAAAGCAAATGAAGAATCCAGAGATGGACAGAAATTCTTCTCTAAAATAATGAATGGAGGAAATTCTCCCAAGATCAGAATCTTCTGTAGAGAGAAAAATTCCAAGTAAGTAGCATTTAAAAGATGACTGGAAAGGTTGCTGATTTGAATTTAAAAGCTCGGGGTTGGGATTTCTGCAACTATTGTGTATGAGTCCCAGCAGTTTTTAAAAAGGAAGAGTAGAGAGTATGCCTCAAATTCCAGAATGAAGTGGTTTTCATCATTTTGCATCCTTATAAGCATGAAAATCATTGCTTATACTTGCGGAAGGTTCAATTGTACCTAAAACAACAAAATGCAAAACACTAACTTGCAAAGATCAGCTTACAATCACATTGCCAATTTGCCTTTACCACAGTAACTCAATGGCATTAGAAACCAAACGTTACAATTACATTAGAAACTAAAGAGAGCTCATGAAAAATATTTCTCTAGTGTCTGCCTCATACAAAGGTCTTACATTTCCAGAGCTTTCATTTCCCTCCACACTTCACAGCAATGCAGAGGGAAAGGTTCTACAGATATCCAACTCTCATCTGCAATAACGGTATCTCTCTTATCAGTAATAATGTTTCCTGGCACAGGAAACACACACTTCTCTGAAAAAGTGACGGGCACAGTGGGACAACGCTTGTTAATAGTCATATGAGATATCCAGCACCTGTGTTCCAGGAAAAAGGAAAACATAACAGGAATTCAATGCAAGTTTTTGGGAGGAGAATTACAAGCCTGATTTGTTCTCATTACTTACCTTTGTGTTGCTGTCAAAATCATAGAAATGATCCAGGGAATCTACTCAATGTTTGACACAGACATGGCTCTGTGTTGAAGTTCATTTTAGTAGAGTTAAAAGACTTATATGGTGTCTGAGAAACAGACTGTCTCAAGAAAAAAATCCATACTTTGATGCAGACTTCTCAGTCAATAAGGTATTTTATGATTTGGTGGCTGAATAATTTTAGTGATAGTATAATTTAAAACTGCATACCTAAATTTAATATAAGGCTAACCAGTCTGAAAGTAATAATATTCCTATGACTGCAGCATTTAGGATGTATCACATTATACAAGGAATTTCTGTGTTAATTGAAAACTGTATTTTTAGAAATGAGTTAATCATTTATTGACATCAGGGAGAGGCACGTGTATGTTATACAATAAGCCTCCTCCAGAGCTATAAGGACCAAGAGAATGAAGAAATCTTCACATTTATTCAGCCAAGCTTCTGAACATACTAAAGCCTTTAGTCTCTTTCCAGCATTCAAGATTCACCATCCTGACCTTTCCACTAGCACAGTCTCAGCAGAAACCCCATATGCAACAACAGTACTACTGCTTCCTTACTGAGCACAGATGCACAGAGAAGGAACCTTATTAATATGTAAATTGAAGAAGACAAAATAACATTTAAAATCCTTTGCATGAAACAATACAACAATATTTACTAAAATTGCTCTTCAACCCAGGAGCAAAGAAAATAAACAATTAGAAATAAATGAAAAATAATTCTTAACTGATTCTGTTTATGCTCCTACATTTATTCTAAAATTGGCAAAAGACTCCTATGGGAAGAAAGAGATCTGCTCTCTGACAAATAACTAAACCTAGGTGGACAAATACTGAAATTTCCCATTTGAAAATCTGAGGAGATACTAAGGATTGAAAAATGTGGAAGAATATGTGCACACTGAAAAGAGGTGATCATCTGAAAAAAGATGCTGCAATGAAATGGAAATGAAGATGTAAAAAAAAGGATGAAAGTTAGACAATCAGCTTACAGGACAGCACTAAGCAACAGTTCTGCCATGCTGAAGGGTGAGCCAAAGAGTAATCCATCATTCACAGCTTATCACATTATAGAAGCTACTGGTCACAGAAGAGCAACTCAAAGACATTTTCATTTCAATTATACAGCGAAGAAAGCCAAAAAACCAATATTGGAGCGCATTCAGTATTAGCTTTGCTAGAAAAACAGTCCATTATTCCCTTTACTAATGTGGGTACCAACAAATAGACAGACATTGGAACGACAACTAAAACAGACAGACATTGGAACAATGAGTGTTTTGTTTCACAGTAAACCAGCTATCACACTGATCCTGTGCATAAAACCTTCAGGCAAGTATGACTGGCATTAGGAAGAAACTACAAATTTGATCAAGCAAGGACCTAAGTATTTAGTAACAAAATACATTATGATGCAAATGATTCATATCTTTCCATAATGCCGTTGTTTACTGGAAAACGCTAACACCAACTTTGAATCTCTGAAAAGTAATTCAACCATTTGCAGAAAAACAGGAAACACTGTGTCTATTTTTCCAGTTTGCCTAGTAAGAACGCTTACCTAGCTAACCTGATTGATTTCTCTGCAACACACTCCCTTTCTCCTAGTAAAGTCACAGTGGTTGGTTGTCAAATAATAGTTACTTTAATCAGAAAATTAGAGAAAATACATCTCACGTTAAATTCTGCACTGCATACTCTCCAAACAGTTGAGAGGACTATTTCTGCCAAGTGCTTTGATTCCCTGGAGCATTGAGCTGTTAACTACATATGCACGCATGGAAGTAGGTCGAGAGTACTATTCTGTTATGCATTGTAATGCAGAGGATAAGCTCTTTAAATAGAGCTAGAATTCATATAGTATTTAAAAGAAAGTGTGCAAGAAACAGAACTATTTTCCCAAAGATGTTTAAACGCTCTGTAAAAATCTAGCTTATGCTATGTCCTCAAGTGAAATCTCCAATCTAGAATCTGGAACTCTTTTCATTCCTTATCACCATTGTCAGCCTTAAAGTTTATTTTTAGATACTTTGTCACATAAATGTTCTGCAACTGAAAAAGTTTCCATCTTTCCTGATTTCCTACTGTTCTGAAGAAGAGATTAAGAGACGGAACTAAAACTGACAGACCCGTTAAAATGAGGCAGTGAGCTTTTAATGGTTTTCCTTTTTATCTGACAGCTCAGATCATCTCTCATTTCAGTGGGGAATGAAGAAAATGCTCTTCAGCTTTTACCCTCCCACTTGAGGACAGACCTTTCCTAGCCTTATTCAATAATCCCATTCTTCAAATACCTTGCTTTCATATCAGAAGAAGGGCACGAGTGCATAGCACCTCTGTTAAAAGTTATACTAGCAATATAAAGCAGTCACAATATTACTTTCAACACAGATTATTGATTTTTTTTTTTCCAATGGAATGACAAGTTTATAAGCAAATTAATTAGCTTTTAACAATATTTCTCTAAAACTCACCACATCAATCATAAACTCAAGGTCCAGTCAGACCTGTCCAAAGACAGGTCATCTGTAGAATGGCCATAGCAATTTAAGAAAGCAGTGCAAGGATGAAGGAAAAGTTGCTGCTAGAAATCTACATAGCAGTTGTGTCTGATCTCAGTATTGGTAAGTAGGTAGAAACAGTCAAGAATAAAATCAGTAAACTTATGAATAATTCAATGCTTAAGATTGGATATTGCTGTTCCACCAAATCCTTCTTCAAACCAATGGGCACATAAAAGAATGAGGCAGTCAATAGAGTCTACTAGGATTTTTAGAAAACCTGCAACAAGATCCCTTCCCAAAGGCATTTAGGGAACTAAGCTGCCATAGAAGGTCCTCTTATGCACCTAAATAATTGGTTACAGGATAGAAAGGAAAAGGTAGGAAAGCAAAAGGTAGGAATAAACAGTCAGTTCTCACCCACAGAGCCTTACAGAAAGATGTGCTAGGGCTGATGCTGTTGAAAATATTCACAAATCACATAGAACACAAAACCAGCACAACAACAAAGACTGCTGATGAGACAAAGCGTTTGGAGCAGTAAATTGAAAGCTGACTGCAAAGATACTACACAGAACGTGTTCATACCAAGAGAAAGCAGCAAAGTGGCAGAGGTCATTCAACTGCAGATAAATAGAAAACGCTTCACAGGAAAAGCAGCCTTCAACTTGACGAACACACTGACAGGCCTCTGATCGAGATCCTTCAGGAAAAGAGGATCAACACCTGCAGCAACTTTCTCTACAGGAGCAGTAGAGGCCCGGAGAGCAGGGAAGGATCCCAGCATTGGAAGACAAGTAGAATTCTTCACTTTTACTACAGAAAACCCAGGAATGTCTGAGATCTCTGCCTCTCTGAAGCTGCCTGCTAGACAGATAATTCCCCTAAGTTGCTCCTAGTTCAGATAGATTCACTCCTTTATCTTCTCTTTATTAAACAAAATAGACTGAGATACTCATTCACGAAAAAGAGGTGTTTTTTCCAAAGTATGTTCTCAAATCCCTTCATCATCCTCATGGAACTTTTACAGATTCTTTTCAATGCAGAAGTAGCCATCTTTAATTCTGGACACAGTAATCAACAGCAGCTGCTGCAGCTGTGAAATACTGAGTTACTCGGGTCATCCTATTCCTAATCAAGATTCATCTATCTCTACATCCTTTAACACCTCATTATTTACCATTCCCTTTTTCTCTGTGTCATCAAGGTATCTTTATCAGAAATGATTTTTCTGTTTTCTTTTAGGTGACTAACCAGAGCACATTGAACGAACAAGCGATTTTCAGGACGCCTTGTCTGAAATACATTTATTCAGTGCTGATGTTTAGTAACTTGCTAGCTAGCCAGTTTTTTAATTCTTTAACGTGTATCTTGCTCATGTTCTAACTTGTCCATCATTTACAAATTTTTTGCATGGCAGGCTACACGATCTACAGAATTCCAGCAAAATTACCTTCAGCAATGAAACCTGTTTTCATTTTTTTTTCTGTATTAGTTTGTCAAGATCTATTTTCAGTAAACTCATAGGCATGCATTATAATATACTTCTCACATTTAATTCTTGATAAGCAGAATGCTATTCCATCATTTTTCACTTAACTGATATCAAACTGACAAGCCCACAATTACCTGCATTGTCCTAGTTATTCTTTTCAAAGATTGGCACAGGAACTGTTTTCTTCTAGCCCTCTAGAGCCCTCCAAGATTAGTGAGAAATCAGTATAATTGGTTCAATGTTCTCTCTGCTCCTTTATTTTTTACTTTTTTTTTTTAATGTGAATTACTCATGACAATGAACTTCAATATATGTAGCCTAAGCAGCTATATTTAACAGTCATCCAAATTACTGTTTGAATAGGAGTCTGTATCACCATAGAATTCATCTGGAGAAAAGGAATATGTATCATCATACCCCAAAGGCAGGACACTCTTTTCTGCTTGTTATGACAACTCCATCATTTCTGTCTATTAATCAACTGGAGGAGGAAACAGAGTAACAAGGAAAAAGAAGGGAAGTGGAAATGGCTTTGTCTAAGGCGATCATTTATTCTACATGTAGAAAAAAATTGTAAAATGAAAACTGACTGCCAGAAACACAATAAAATCTGCAACTGACAGCCAGAGAATTCTCTATCTAGCTGCAATATTCTACCTCCTGGATCTCTCCTGAGCAACAAAAGTCTCTCTGTACAAGCTGGACAAATCTGTTCATTCAGTACCTCAAACTGGGAAAAATTAGAGTTTTCTTTGATCAGAGGTGATCTGAGAGCTATGAGTGAAAACCTATGCACACACCTTGCTTGTGGAAAAGGTCAGCTAACTTGTTCTCCAGATAATTAGCTAGAGACATTCTTGCTCAACCTCATAGCAGAGCCTGATGTGAGGGTTTCTCTTCCTCTAAAAATTGCTCTACTACAGAGCAAAAAAAGTCCTACTACACCACACTTCTCTGAAGCGGACCTCTGATATCAACCTGCTCATTAGTAAAGCTAGCTTGAGCCTCACTCTTCTCATATGCATCTCAGAAGGGACAAAATGTAAGGTTATAAAAAGTACTTCAGGCTATCCAGTATTGCAGAAACACTACGCTCTCCACATGCAATCTAAATAAAACTTTAAAACGTTATTGATTAGTGACTTGGATCAGAACAGGGTTAGCAGGGCAGAGTACAGTCACAGCAAAATAAGGAACACATTTTAAAATGCAGAGTACTGACTGTACCTTACAGATTTTGTATAGAGATTCCTGACCGTCTCCTTCTGTATCTTTAAAATAATCATGTGCTGGAAATGTACGATGAATATCTCGTGTAATGACACTCTCTTGAGCAGAATCCTGTAAAAAAAGAGAGAGAAATCTGACATATTAGCCTGGCAACAATGTAATTAAACATAACAGAACATAAAATTCAATGTGCAGTCAACATGGATACATTAGATAACTGCTTTACTGACTCATCCTCCAAAAATGCTTTGAGAAGAAACTGAAAATCCTCTAGTCTCATATGCAGTAATAATTTGACAGTTTAACAACAGCAATGTGGCATGTCTTCTGTCCTTCAGGCTTACAGTTCAAACTCACAGGAAATAACTAGTTATTTAATTGTAGGTGCATTTTTACCACATATGCTTAAAGTCTTTCTCTGGGAGTAAAAAAAAAAGAAAAGAAAATTAGACTGTCTCTGTCTTGCAAGCTTAGAGGTATTAATTTAAAATGTATATCAATCTACCACAAAACCAGTGGTAATTACAAATTGGAACTATTACTTAGAAACATTCAGAGTTTACCATTAAGTGGTCTTTAATAGAACAAAACCAGAAGAAGTACCAGAAAATGTTACACTTTCAGATAAATCCTGTATCTTTCCCTGCTACCATCTCCAATTCAATTATATTTTTGCATTGATTAACAACTAAGGATAAGTTCAGGTGCCTAAACATTGGTGTCAGATGTCATTTTAGAAGCCTGAAGATAATCTTGCCTGGTAAGCAGCTGCTGCTGCAGAAGGATACAAGTCTGCTCTAAGTGCTGCGTCATCTCTGCAAGCTCCATGTGAATGATCTGCCTATACAAAGACAGCTAAAATGACACCAAATGCCCATGTTTAGGCAACTGAGTTGGCCTCTGGGCATACCTAGTTCTGTAGATAAAGAAGCAATTGCTTACAATACTGCATTTCTATAAAAAGCTGGGAATTGTTGCAATTGGACCTGAGAAATACCACTGTGTGTATAAGAAAGTGGTATCAAAATGTCAGGGCTGGAACCATAAGTTAATCAATTATCTTCAGGTTCCAGTTACCCTCAGTGTGAGATAGTACCTTTAGGCTGGTAAATACAAACACTGCTTTTCTCTATCACCTTTGTAACCCTAAAGTAAAAACCAACAGAATCCTTACCTGCAACTTAGAAAATAAATCATATATAAACATTTTTACCTTGAAAACAAAATATCTGCCATAGAAAAGCTTCTAAACCCTCAGACTGGAGTTTGTAATCCAGGACATTCCATAAAAAAGCTTCTTTACACCTGCTGGAGTCAGCAATCAGGTAATCTCCTGAATTTAGGTGGTTTCCCCATCTCATAAAGCCTCTACAGTGAGCCTACGCCATACAGTAATGCAGCTGCCTGTGGGGACTCAGCCAGATGCCCACAACAATTCCCAGCTGCAGTTCCCTTTTGGGCCCATCCATAGCCAATACATGCAAAGATGTTATCTGGGCTATATCAGGCTACCCCAGGGATGAAAACCCATCATTGTATTTCTTCATTCACTTCAATAGCAGCTAAGAAAATAGTTATAGTCACAACGAGCATAAACATCACTTTAATATGTTTTCTAACAACATTCAACTGAGTATCACAGATAAGTAAGAAAAAAAAGGTTGTGGTTTTTAAAAAAATCTAGTTATCTTCTATTATCATTGGAGTTCTCATTTCCTTCCGTTCTCTCCACTCTCCATGTTAAACTATGGCTTCATCTTTCCTCCACATCCCTCTCTGCACTTGGCATAGTCTTCCAGTCCTTGCATGTAGAAGTGTTCCTCTTTCTTCTCTCTCAAATCTCTCCCTAAAGCTCACAGCTTCTCAGAATCTTTGCTATCATTAATCTATCCATTTACAATGTCCTAATTTTCAGTGATCTCAACCGTGGCTTTCCCTTTGCTTGAAATAACTTCTTTAGTACAAGACAATAACACGATCTGCATTTTGTAAAATACCAGGCATATTGTTAAGTGTTAAGAAAAGGAAAGCTTACAAAGAGCGGTGATGTTTTTATTATGCTAATTGGTACTATTGGAGAAAATAAACACTTTTGTGCATTCATAGGGTTATCATGATATTCAGGACATCTAAGCATCGTGCAACTATTAGCAAACAAAACTAACCACACAGTCTAAACCACATGCAGTAAAACACAGAACAATAATAAAAATTTAGTAATAAGCAGTTCTCTCATCAGACTTCTTTAATGAGTATTTTCATTTAAATGGCTTTCAAACACAAGAAAGGCTAAATAACTGCAGTCTTTCTCCCAGATTGATCTGACAATTTAGTTACATTGTAAGGAAATGCCTTAAACAGCATTTAAGGTCTACCAATACAGATCAGTTATCAAGTCTATCATAAAAATCTGTTACGTTAATTCTTCAGCACAAATTCGAAAAGATCCAGGTATTTTAAAGAACGTTACAGGAAGGCCACTGTGTCCAGCACATACATCACTTTTCTGTCAAGCAGAGAGATTATCTTTGACTTCCCTATCCCTATTTCTATCTTTTCTTGAACTGAGAGGCCAATATATAATTGAGCACACAGAAGTTCACAAGGTAGATGTCTGAGGTAGGACCAAAAAATATTTGTGTAAAGGCCCCAATGCAAATTCACTGAGTTAAAAGCAGCCTGAAGCAGAGTCTTCCTTCAGCATTATTAACAATAGATACTTCTAGAAAACTAGAGGAAAACAATTAAACGGACCCAAACTAAAATTTAAGCTGAAAGGCAGGAGAATTAACACCTCCTCAAAAGACAACATCCACCTGAAATACGAGAAACCCACAACCTAAGAGAAACAAGAAATTAGTCTAGAGTGAAGACCAGACTAGAACTACTTCTTAAAATACTTAAAAAATATTTTGGTTCAGTTTCTACCTTTTTCCAGATAGTTTGTTGATAGCACTCTTCTCAGGAGTACCACAGCAGATGAGTTCACAGTAATCCTAATTCAGGCGTTCAGAGAATTTTTATTCTTCTGATAGTCATGATTAATTTACTATAAAAAAAGCTAAGGTGAGATGGCTATCAAAGCATTCAGAGTTCTAATGATCTTTCTCACTTCTAATAATCATTTCTGTGCTGCCAACTCAGAGAAACAATATTCTACAGAGGAAAAAAATTATCTTCACATGTCAACTATATGACAGCTGACATCCTACTGAACAAGCTCCCTAGTTTGAGTTGTCTTACTTTTAAAACAGCTAAACTTCTGCAACTGTGAAGCAACTGTATTGGAATACTGACTCCTTGGCATCACTGCCATTTTAAACTATGAAGATACTGCTGAATGTGGACATTTGATGCCAGAAGGCAGACTGATGTAGAAATACAGAAAAGAACAGAAAACTGTTTATAATAAATAAATATTAAAATAAAATTAAGGTTACATAGGCACTCAATTAGGAAACATAGGGCAATCTTTATGCACCTACATCAGGAACTATTTTTTAATTAAGAACATTTCACACACACTACAGAAAGGACCTCTACTCATTTCTCGTCATGAGTGTACCCATTCTGGTGATGAACTGTGGTTATGGAGCAGAAGAGACTCCTGTAGGCTGAGCCTTGCTTCCTTTGTTGCAAGAACTGGAGGACAAGTATGGTATGAGCCAGAAGAATGTATTAAGAAAGAAAAATTTCTTGCAGCACAACATCTCAATGCTGTGTTCAGCCTCAAATCCTTTCCCCGCTTCTGCCCAAAATTACTTGCATGAAACCAGGCGCATCACTTAACGCAAAAAATTCCATGAGTGGTAACCTGAGTTTTCCTTACTACACAGCTGCCTGTAATACAGCTGTTGACTCAATATGGAAAAATGCATACTTACTTACAGTTGCAACTAAAGGAATTCAAGAGTTTTATGTGAATACTAAAAAACTAATAAAGCAGGTCACAGGTGTGTCAAACCTGACATTCAAACTGAGCAGCACTTCTGACCTCAATCTCCTTGTGCTCCATTTCCCTGGTTAATAATAATTCCCCATCTCAGTAGGATGTTACGAAAATCAATTAACATCTGAAGCACTGAAATACCGCAGTGATGAGTCCTACAGAAGTGCCAAAGAGGAAAATAATAACTTCATCCTCAAATCCCAATCTGAGTGGTATATAGTAAGGCACAGTGTTACACCACGAAAAATAGTAAGGGGGAAGAAAGAAAAAAAAAAACAAAGCTGCTCATTAGATAAGTACTATTCCTTCTGTACTCAACAAGGCAGAGATCCTGGGAAGAAGGCAACCCAAAACCACAGAACTATGTGTGATCAAGAATACATTATTATGCATATGAGTAGGCAATTTTGATATTGTACTTAGCTTCCAAAGGTTTATATCTAATTTTAAACTCCTTCAAGTTTGGTTTTATCATACATGTTTACACATAAAACCAATATGATTTGTATGTGCTGGAGACTCAGTACAACCTGCCCATTTAAAAGGTCTACATCTCTGGTGAGGTTCAAACAGCTAATTTTGCATCAGACTGTCCCACCTGTGCTCCATCTCTTCACTAGCTAAAAACAGCCAGAATCCAGAGTACCGAGGAAAGGAAGAAAAGGGAAAAAAATAAAATTCAGAATGGGCTTTCAACATCTAAAATTACCATGCCCTGGAAATACGGTGTCATGCTCCTTCAGGATTAGATACGGAAACTTTTCTACGCTCTGTATGCGGAAAGCAGAACCTCTCAGGCTGCTGCAGGTGTTCATCACTCTTGTTTAGTCAGAGGTGTACAAGATGGAAACACATCAACCACTGACAGTGGGAGTGAGAGGTATCCTCAATAAATCCATGCCTCTTAATCCTGAAAAGCTGTAAATTTAAATATTGACTAGCCAAGTGGACATTATTAGACATTATGACACAGTTTCAGTACCCTAAGTATTTAGCTGAAGGAACAGATTTTTTTGCATATTGTTTATTTTGTTCCTTAAAGTTCTTTGTGGTCCTGTACCGTTCCATGCATGTGCACACGGGAATATGAGTAATAAGGTTAAATTCTCTAAAACACAATCACAAATAGACAGCAAATACAAAATATACAAAATAGATTAAG